TTGTCAGAGTTGGGGCCAGAGTCTGTGTGTCTATGGAAGAGATATTTATCAAGCCTGGCTTCCACAATTATCCTTTAAAGACTTATTTCTCTTTATACATTTTTTTATCTTGAGCAAACACAGTGATGGACATAGTGTATGAATGGGGGAAATATTCTCAGAAACTACTGAAACTACATGAAGCTACACAAGATTGAGTTCAAAATAAAGTTAATTAATTAATTTTGTTTCTATAGAAGGGTCTTTTTGTGTGTATGTGTATATTGTTCCCCCTGAAGGCGGGAATATATTTGTTGAGTTTATATTTCACTGTTGGTAACGCCATTTTGGTTTGTCTAAAACTTGCAGTTGTAAAATGAAGTTAGAGATTTCATCTGTACGTTTCAACCCATTGTCAGTCATATTTTGTGACTTACACATGATCCTTAATGGGCCATGTTTCGCAATTTAATATTATTATATGAAATTAATATGTTTAGCTGAAATATACATACTTTCGCTAAATGGGCCGTGTCCATATTGTCTGTGAATAAAGTATTGGGCATATTGACTGATTATCTCCATGAGCTAGTGTTATTCAGGGATTAAGGTCAAGCCTTCAACTCGTTTGGTTTTAGATTCCAGTACTCTAACAGTCAATCCCTGAACATATTTTACTTAACAGTGATTTAATTATTTTTAAAAACTGTAATAGTCCCGAGACTTTCTTCTTTTCCAGACTTGCCTCATTCTAGATTTGCATGGGCTAAACTGGATATATTTCAGGGTCTGTATGACAAACTAAGATTCCTCCACCATTCCAACATCGTGGAATATTCGCTGCCTCACGAGGTTGGGAGAGTGAAAAGTTGAAATTTATAGAAAACGTCTTTCAATGTTGTATTTATATCAGTAGATTCATCGTTAGATTTATCAATGCCAGCTTGGTAAGGCTGGAAGATTCTACATCGAAACATAGCGTTTCTATTCCCAGATAGTCAGTGACACGGAGGTAAAATATGTTCTTGAAATACCCAATGCCATTTTAGAAAGTGGTCAAATGTAACGTATGTTATATTTGGGATTACACTTTCTGAGTAAAGTACAGATTCTAGTACTTTTTGGGTTGAGTCCGGGATTCGAACCCAAACCCTCAGAGTCAGGCACCTAATCGCCAGTACACAAAGTCAGACGCCTAGACCGCTCAGCCACCGCGGCTTCCACAAAAATGGAAGTCGGACAACTGGTAGTCTAGACTGCGGACTTTGTGTACTCCTCTGATAAGTGTTATTTGGCACGGCTCCCACGGCCGAAAACTATGAAATACACAATGCCATTTTAGAAAGTGGTCAAATGTAATGTATGTTTCTTAGTAAAGTACAAATTCTAGTACTTTGTGGGACTCAACCAAAGAGTACTAGAATCTGTACGTTACTAAGAAAGTGTAATCCCAAATATAACATACGGTAAAATATGTTCTTGTTTAACACTACACTTGAAAGAGGAAGCGTAGGATAAAGTTTACAGACCTCAGAAAGGTTATTGTTTAGATTGAGTGTGTCTGTGATATCTGAATGCTGGTAAGTAACACTTCAAGAATGTGGAATACTAATGTTTCTGTCTCTAGGAATATGGTGAATGACGTTGGTGGTAAAAGGACATTTACCACATTTAAGAAAGATGAACATTATTGTTAGCAATTATATATACCCTGAACGTTTGTATAGTTTTACATCTGCTTGATAGTGTCTCCCATCCTGTTTCATATTTTAAACTAATTCGAGATGCATATTTAGGAAAACCGGTAACTATTCTAGCTGCTGTCAGTCGAAACTTTTCAAGTTTATCAGAGCCAGCATAGGTACAGCTATCCCTGACTTTAGATGCGTATTCGAGAATAGGTCGAATGAAAATAATGCACCGTTGGCATAATGTTGATATGTCAAGCACATATTAAAGTTTTCTGTAAAGAAACTATCATTTTAGATGCAGAATAGCTTAATATATGGCAGAATATGGGCAGATTCAAGGTTTCTCCCGATCGGTTAATACTAACAGACGATGCACCAGTGGGGGTGTCACCAGCAAATAAACGAGTTGAATTGTGAACATGAGTATGGGTTTACGCCACTTTCAGCAATATTCCAGCAATATCAGGGCGGGGGACACCAGAAATAGGCTTCAAGCATTGTACCAATGTGGGGAATCGAAGCCGGCTCTTCAGCGTGGCGAGCGAACGCTTTAACCACTAGGCTATCCCACCGCCCTTCAAGGAATAGAAAGGGATCGAGAACAGTTGAGGTGTATTTCAATGACGATAGACTAACATGTATAAATATCTTTTGTTTCCGCCCGCCAAAATATAATCTGTTTTAATCGCGATAAGAGTTTACTATTGCTACCATATTTATTTAGCTCATGTAGTTAGCCTTTGTGCCAAACCCAATCAAACGCATTAGAGATATCAAAGAACATTATACTATACATTTCCTGCTCGTTAACAGAAGAAACAATGTTTAGAAAGATCTATTTCAAATAATTGTGAGACACTAGATTGGCCAGAAACAAATCGTAATTGGACGTTTATATAAAAGCTGGTGTCAATGAAAATGAATAATATGAAAAATGGTTATACACCGCAATGTACAGAATATTTTGACTATAATACATAAATGTATTGCAGCAGAATCTGTGAGTGGCTTTAACAACCTTTGTTTAATGTTGTCAGTACCACTGGGTTTACGACTTGGTAAACATTTGTATATAGTGATTGACGACGCCGTTCAAAGGTAAAGGATGATTATTAGCTTATTTACAGAAACAAGATGATTATTTCAAATCGCAGCCTTGTAAACGCTAGATAGCTTCCAGGGCAACTATCGGGACAGGCCAGGGGAATACATGTCGTCGATCCTCCATTGTTATCATTTATCTCAGTAATTTCCAATAGTAAGTAGTAGGATTGTTAATTATTTGCGGGTCTAATAATCCATTGAAATTTGAAAAGAATTTTATATTAGTTGATCCTCACCACGAAGCAATAATTACTCCAGTCACGCGCACGCACGCACTCACGCACGCACACACTTAATACATACACACACACGCATGCATGCATGCATACATACACACACACGCATGCATGCATGCATATATACATACACACACATACATACATACATACATACATACATACATACATACATACGTACATACGTACATACGTACATACATACATACATACATACATACATACATACATACATACATACATACATACATACATACATACATACATACATACATACATACATACATACATACATACATCACTCGCCCTGACTGCTCCAATATTGTTTGCTGTTTGTGATGCTATCGTATGCCGCCATTCTTGTAACGTGTCGTGTAAGCTGTTCTTGTTATGGAGGTGATAATTTGACTTTTACAGAGCCGTGGTTTGTATTCTCACTGATAACATCCCAATCCAGTCCGACAGAGCTATATTCATGCATGAAGACGACTGTCGCGGTCGCTGTAGCGGTGATACATGATGGCGTATTGTATTGACTCTTCCACTGCTGCCATGACGTTTATGAACGAACCCTCCTATCACACGAAATCACAAGTTTTATTTACTATCAGTGAAAGCAACAAAAGACAGTCAGACAGACAGACATTTTATTCAGTAAAGGCCACTGGCCCAACATACTTTCATAAGATGCATTCTTTATGAATGTAGCAAAACAAAGCACAGAATACACCTGTATGTAGGCAAATCATCTTTAGTGAAATATACGTCTATATTGTATCATGTCACAATGTTTGCTGTGCCTATATATTGTCGTGTTGCATTACATATTTCATAGCTAGTATTTTTTCTAAAAACATTTTATTTATATATATTTATTTAGCGCCAATATATTAGTATTTTGGCATGTGATTCTTTGATGTGCGTCGTTACATTGAACGTGAACCTCCCTGGCGGCATCATATTGCAGTATTGACCAGCATCGTTGTACTGCATCCAGATGTAGATAACGGTTGAGTAGAGTACAACATTGTGTTACTGTGTCTCAGTGCACGCTAGGCCTGTATATACCCCGCAGATAACGGTTGAGTAGAGTACAACATTGTGTTACTGTGTCTCAGTGCACGCTAGGCCTGTATATACCCCGCGGTGTGTTCAGTGTGTCAAGAGGAGCAAATCACCGAAGCATATCTACTCACCCACTGCTTCAAAACTAAACACTATTCTTGATGTCAATTAATAAATAGCACTAACTAAGGAACTGTTACCCTGGAAACAATATCCCTCGCTAGGCAACGTGGTATTGTATGCGGTTTTTAAAACGTGGCATCATGGCGTAATACATGTACAGATGTCAAATAACATGTAAAGAAAGCAGACATTGCATCGATGCCTAGAACTTGAAAGTAAAACAATAATTGCAACAATTATAATATTTTTACGACATAAGAGAGTAGAAAACATCATTACTGTCTATTAGCGTTCAATATTAATAAATGCCGTGTATTTGAAAACTCTGAATATATTCGACGAACTGGCGGCTTATTTCATACTTGTGATCAATGTTGGCGTCACTGTCTGCGTTACGGATAGTATTTTTCCAATACACAAATGTGACTGCCACACAATTACATTGTCATAATCTGTCATCACACACATAAAACTGAACACAGAGCATTGGTTAGATAGCAGCTGGCGGTCACACATGATGAACAATGTATCTAGACTGACGCTGTGCCGCATCACGCTACCCTACAAATCTCAATACTTATCGACTCTTTACTCCAGGATGAAGAACGTTTTATTTATAATTGATTCTTTGAAACATCAGCACATCTGTTTCAGTTGTAGAATAATGGACCAACTCCATCGCTGTTACTTTTTCAGGTGCATTTATCACAATTGTACAAGAATCAATCTTTTGAAATAATGATTCATTTAAAATTGAATCAAATATAGAAAATTGGAAAGCGGGTGCTGTCACTGTCAAGTGAAGTATGTCGGTTGTCAATGTCCAGTGTAGTATATCAGTAGAGCTGTACGAGTGACTGAGACTAGCAGGGCAAGAGCACCTACATACCCGTCACGCCTCCTCGGGGATCCCTCACAGCGGACCCACACACTCGTCGGTTGGACCACATGGAACGGACGTATGCATACAACATGGCAACCACGCGTGAGTAAAGGGACAGTGTTCCACTTGCTTGTGAATTATTACGTTGTCAGTGAAATGTAAGTGTACGTTCACAGTACCATTTCAATACTTACCTGCTGCCTCAGCTTCTGTCCACTCACAATACTACATAAGTATGCTTCATCAGGTGACGAATAAACGTCAAGTGGGTTTTAGAACATAAAAAACAAAATATGTGTTAGAAAAACGAAATTACAAATGTGTGTACTTTGTGAAAAATGAATTAACTCAATCCCAAATTAGGAATTGTTCACAGAATATAAACCTTCCAATTACAGATAACAGCAGAGTGATGAAATGTTACGATATTAAACTATTTAGATAGGATTAAAACGAAACTTGTAGAGCTGCTTTGAAATATTTAAATCAAACAAGAAAATGGTTCCGATATATATTTCTTCAACAACGATGTCAGTTGTTTGACATGAATATGAGTAGCTGTTGGTGTCAAGAAACTGAGCTTAGAGAGATGAGAGATATTTTACAGTCAGTTTGTTTTAATGCGTTACAAATTAGTTGTTTAGCTTAAACAGAAATAATTATAAGTTAATTGTTTACAGTTGTTATTTTAACTGACTGCCAAATATGAACATATGAATTTCAGTTGAAAATTTCTTGCGTCATTAATAAACATTGCATTCTAAGCATTTAAATGTGACTTAACTTAGCGATTAATCATATATAGCACATCTTTGTAAACATGTCTTATTTTTCTTGAAACTATATTTCCATAAAACCCCAACTGTTATGTAAATTGTGAACATTTATGTCTGAAGCATCTTACACGTACCCCTAATCATTTAGGTAGGTGTTAACATCGATATTTGTGACTACCATAACTGTCATTACACTGATGCTGGACACACTACTTAGCAGGACCTGCAGATAAACATGAAATCTGGTTAATACCTAAATTGGTTTTATTTTGTTCCGTTAAAACTGTTTTAACCGTGAAAGGTTTATTCAGTTGATGAGAGCGAGCCGCCATGTAGTGTTCCCACGACCGGCCCAGGGTTGCGTGACTGGCCATGCTTAGTTTCACCTACCTCTCAACACTAACTTAGCCAAACTTACCGGCTTGGGTTTCACATGATCGTAAATTTTATCTTATGATTCTGCTCAAGTGATTACGTCTGATTCGCATGCAAATTCTCGTTAAAATTTACAATCTTGGCATGAAAGTGAAATCCGAATTGTGATATGAAAAAGTGGTCGAACGGACGTATATGTTCCCACGACTGGAATCCTTATTTATCCGAGGAGGCTGTTGGGCTAGAGGGCTGTAGATGGTGTTGAGCACGCAGGTACCCGCGATATGAGGCCCGTACATACCTAACACACACCCGAACATTGCATTCTGTACCTGTACTACAAGCAGTAATTATATATGTAGACAAACAAATAAAGGAACACAGGAAAAATCAAGCGTTCCTATATTTGCTTCCAGTTTTCATCACCACAGTGCTATTCAAAGCTGGTGATGAAAACTAGAAAATATCAAAGGAACATGAATTTTCCTGTGTTCCTTTATTTGTTTCTCTGCGTATATAATGACCAGGCTGAGCAATCATAGGTATGCTCAGTACTCAACATGTGCAGGTACTTTAAAGTATACATACTTTGAAAACCTATAAAGCATAATGTTAAAATAAACGCCATGAATTTAGAATAATTTGGTTGCAGAAATTCTGCACTTAAATTATAGACAAAGTGCGATGCTACGTGGAAGGAAAGTAACCAATGAAATGCACATACGGTAGCTATTTAACAGAATACCGAACGTCAATATCTAGTCCTAACTAAGGCTGTATACCATTAACCAATAGTACAGTCCACATTAAATGTTGTCGATTATTTTTGGCGATGATGCTTCCACACACAAAGGGAAAATGGAAATTGTTGCAGATCCGGAAAATATGAATTATAAGGACGTGGAATGTAGTCTGACACTGAGACAAGAGTAAATACGAATGGTGTGAACTGAGGGAGATCACTAACTTCGGAAGGAAAGCATAATGGTATTAATCTTGAAAAGGAAATATTTGTATATCTATCAACGACTCTCTAACCCCACAAATGTTTTACACACGGCTTTAAAGGGCATATCCTCTCGTCTTTCACCACGAAATGATGTATGTTTTACATATATTTATATTATTGTTCCTGTAAGGTTATTACCGTCTCGGCGTCTATTATGGCCGGTATGATGGTAGTCACATACAAGGGAATAATTTCAAAATCTGGCAATCATACTGAGTAAAGTTCAATGTGTTTTGCTGGTCACATATGTGATTACTCTGGTATTTAGATCAAAGAAAATATTTAACATCATTAGAAAATATGGATTTGAGAAGAGCCATGATGTTTCTCTCGATTGAATGCATTGTGGATAAGAGAGAAACTAATTTTTCTAGGAGGTATATACAAGACAATATTATATATTTAAATGTTCAAACTGTAAGTTGGGCTTTATTGAAGATGTATTTCATGTATTATTAGTTTGTGATAAGTTTAAGGATCTGAGGGAGAAATATCTTCCGCATTTTTAACATGTCCATAAAACAATAGTTAATGGTAAACTTATTACACTCCCCAAATCCTCATGTTATACATGCAGTTGCAACATTGTTAAACATATATTTATTGCTAGATAATTGCTAAATTTTGTAGTCACTTGACTTATGTGGCAGTATATATACATTATATATTAACTGTAAAATAAGCCATAGGGCCGTATATTACCGAATACAAGGTCAGTCGGTCTGTCTGTCAAATCAGGAGAATCTTAAGTTGTTTACTGATATGGAGAAAGCTTAAAATGAAATGTTTAAGAATGTATTTAACGTTATACATAACGACCGTTTGTTTGTCAAAGCACGTGCAGTACAAATGTATATTACCATCTTCGTGTGGCATTTTACCGAATGTGATCTTCATTCATCATCAGTTTGAAGCAGTAAGAATGTGTTAAAGTTGTTTTGGGATTATAATTATACAAGTTGTATTTTTCTAAAACCAAAAGTCCATTCAAAACATTCAGTGTTCTCCCTGATTCCTTATTAGATCCAAAAAGACAGGGAGCTGTGAATAGTCGCAAGTACAAAAACATGTCTAATAAAAGGTCAGTACATGTGCTACATGTCAAGGATTCATCTCTATGTGCTTGATACCTCTGCGCAATTCAATACTTCTATTTCCCAATGAATTCATGATGAAATATTATCACATAACATTTTATCGAAATTCAATTCCTAAAAGTTGAGACAGAGGATTATTCCAAACAACATATGTCCACGGAAACATCCAAGGCCTTTATAAAACATTGTCAACAAAATATGTTAACCAATCCAGGAGCCAGGGAGAACAGGAGAACTCGGTATCGTGCATTCCAAAACGAAATCTCAATTCGGTTTGGTGTTAGATATTTCTGTTTGTGCAGAATTTGTAAACATGTTGCTAGATAAGCTCAGTCCATGTTGACGATTCCCATGTGCACACGGGCGAACGGAAATATTGTTTATATTGTGTACAATCTACATATAATTTGACAGTACTTTTACACCTGATAAAATCACTTTTTGGGTTGTATGAATTTCATAGTGTACAGTCGAATACATTTAAAACTTTAACCAAACCACATCGTTGTTATATTCAGATACGTAGTGCTGTTTTTAGTTTTCATGTACACGCGGATTCAGGTTTTGTTTTATTAATTTGAAAATTGTTTATCTCAATAATTATAGTATTATTAACCTCTTATGACAGTGCAGAACGAGGTGATTATCTCGATACCCATCTACCCAAGATGAGATCATGTGAAAACAATGGAGTATGAGATCATTGATGGCTTTGAGCCAAATAAAATAGGTTCATTTTATACTGTATATGTCAGACGCCTGTATGTGGAAGAAAGGAGACAGTTCTGTGGATATGTAACTTCATTTTTACAATATATGCGACGTTTCAGTGAAGATACCAACACCGTTATCAAGTAAATGATGACAGTGTTGGTATCTGCATTGAAACATCGCATCTGTTGTAATAAAAAAGTTACATATCCATTGAACACTCTCCTTTGCTCATCGCACCAACTTCTAAAGACCAAGGGGCAGTGGTGTAGCCTAGTGGTTAAAGCGTTCGCTCGTCACTCCGAAGATCCGGGTTCGATTCCCTACATGGATACAATGTGTGAAGCCCATTTCTGGTGTCCCCCGCCGTGTTATTGCTGTAATATTGTTAAAAGCGGCGTAAAACTAAACTCACTCAATCAATCTAAAGGGCACACAAATTGGATACATGTGGCTACTCTTTTTTACATAAATCTACCACTACGCTAGAATATCTTGTACAAATGAGCTGATTTCTCATGTGTAATAGCAATGACATTGAGTGGCAACTTGTTGTAGCTTGGCAGAAGTGTGATTAGAAACTGCATACGTTTCTCACAAAAAGGATCTGTTTCATTTTAATGAAGTTCAGATTGTCGACTGTGTGACAAATATTTTGTGATTAAAGAAGGTCACCGAGGACATGAATCATGTCTATCTACCTGAGCAACCGAACGCTGTATTCGGTACTTATGGCAGGAATATTTCACTTGGATTTATTATTCTCGGTTTATGTGGTACGAGAGCTAACGATGATAACGTTTAATCCCGCAAAATTACAAATACTATTGGTGTACAGTGTTCTTCAGTTGTATTATTCCATTCTGTGATGACACTATAGGTGACATTATATAACGCCAGATGATGACCCTATAGGAGACACTATAACGCCGGATGATGACACTATAGGAGACACTATAAGGCCGGGTGATGACACTATAGGTGACACTATAACGCCGGATGATGACACTATAGGTGACACTATAACGCCGGATGATGACACTATAGGTGACACTATAACGCCGAGTGAACTCATGTCTATGTACCTGAGCCACCGAACTCTGTATTCGGTACTTATGGCAGGAATATTTCACT